CTCATAGCGACCCCTCCTTGGGTTTCCGAGGCAGTATCACTACGGAAGTAGGATTGCCCAACCTTCCTTCCGAGGAGTGGCTGGTGGGTTTATGTTTACTAAAATGCTATAGCCTTAACACAAACAATAGTGTCTGAAGCATAATAATTCCTCAAATATTTGCTAAATTTAACTAACTTTTCTGATAGCCAGGTATATAATGCATATGACATATTTAGAAGAAAAGTCTATTACAAACTAAAGTTCTTAAGAGTATAATAATAGATTATAAGAAGTATTGGTAATTAATTTTAATCCTTTATTTAAATTTTCCAATTATTTACATGTAATATATTTACCAGTTAGTATTTAACTTTACTACTAATGGAGAGAGAATTGATCCAAAGGCAGATAGAAGATAACAAAAACAAAAGTTCTGTTAGGCAAATACCATCATAACCTTCCATCAAGGTATAGCAAATAAACTGTGGTACAGTCACTCAAAGGAATATCAAATAACAATGAAAAGAAAGTACAGTATCTACAACAGCATGGATAACACACATAATAAGGACAACATTGAGAAAAAGAAGGAAAAAAAAAGACAAAAAGAGAACATATGGTAAGCACCCATATGTAAAACTTGATAACAAAGACAATAAGTAGAGTATTTCGGTGGTAAATATATAAACTTGTTGCTGTCAATTCAATTCCATCTCATAGCAACCCAATCAAGCACAGCAGACCTGTCCCATAGGATTTCCAAGGCTATAATCTTTAAGGAAGCCAACTGTCACAGCTTTCTCTTGTGGAATGGCTGGTGGGTTTGAACTGCTGACCTTTCAGTTAACAGCCATGTCCCTAACCATGGCATCACCAGGGCTGCTTTGCTAAATATATATATGTTATAAAATTATAAAGAATAGCAGTAAGACTAATCTGAGACTTCTGGTAAGATGGAGGAATAGGCAGTCAAGCAACACAGACCCTCTTCAACCAAGAAAAGAGAAACCAGTTGACAGAGATACAGAAGATAATCCTGGAGCCCTGAGCTTTGAAGGGAATTATTTAGAAGTGGATTAGGCACCAACTAGCGGAAAACCTGAACAAAAACAGTGAGTACAGAGACGGTTGGAGCTGCGGACTGTCAGCTACCCTGACAGGACCAACAGCCTGAATATTTCCAAGAGGTGTTGGGACCTGAGAATTGACCTAAAGATCAGCCCTGGTCACCAAGGGCTGCAGGGATGACTGTGCTGGTGGCCTATGACTAGGAAGGGAAACAGCAAGGAGGGAGACAACCTGCGCTGTTGACTTTCTGCTGTCCAAAGTGTACAGCCATTTTGACCATTTACATGCGGCAGCTATTTTGGATATTTAAAGTGACTGAGGGTGCAGCCATTTTAAATGTTTACAAGAGGTGGCTATTTTGGATATATAAAGTGACCAAGGGTGCAGCCATTTTAAATGTTTACAAGTGGTGGCCATTTTGAACTTTTACAAGAGGAAACCATTTTGAATTTTAAAGTGACAGCATTCTCATTCAGATTTCAGGGACCTAAGAATCGGCTCTATTTCCCAAGGTCAGCAAGGACATATGAGAGATTGACAACAGGAAAGGAGACAGGTGGTGAGTATATAAGTGCTGTCAACTAGTGAATAGAGGAGCACAGCACAATACATACCAAACAAAGAAACATATAAAACAAAGAAAATAAAAATCATGGGAAAGTCACTCCAACATATAATCACCAATTAAATATAAACACAAAAACGTCACAATGCCTCAGAGACAACAGAGCATCACAGTCCACACAAAGAAGCAAGATAAAGCAGGAGAAACAAGGGACCAGGATAGAGACCCAAAACACATCCCTGAGGAAGACGCAGCATTGGAACTCCCTGATAAGGAATTCAAAAGAACTGTATTTAGGTATCTTCAAAGGATTGAGAAAGAGACCAAGGAAAACACAGAAAAAACCTTACAAGAATTTCAGAAGAAAATACAAGAACAAAATGACAAAATAAATGAAAAATTAGAAATGATTCTAAATCTACGATAGAAATCCAGAAGATTAATACTAAATTGTCAGAAATAACACATTGGAAGGGCAAAGGTGCAGAACTGATGCAATGGAAGACAGAATTAATGAGATTGAAGACAAATACCTGAATACCTCTTGGGAAAGGGATCAATCAGAAAAAAGATCAAAACAAAATGAAGAAAGCCTAAGGTTAATGTGATATACCATCAAAAGGAACAACTTATGTGTCACTGGAATTCCAAAACATGAAGAGAAAAATAAAACCACTAAGAAAATTGTCAAGATTTGTTGGAAGAGAACTATTCTGATATGATAAAAGATTAAAATATATCCATCCAGGAAGTCCAACGAACCCCAAAAAGGATAGACACCAAAAGAAAATCACCAAGATATGTCATCATCAAACTCACCAAAACGAAAGACAAAGACAGAATTCTGAAAGCAGTACGGGAAAAACAAAAAGTTACCTACAAGGGGCAACCAGTAAGACTAAGCTCAGATTTCTCAACAGAAACCATTCAGGCAAAAAGACAGTGGGATGGTATATATAAAACCCTGAAAGAGAAAAATTTCTAACCAAGAATTATGTAGCCAGCAAAACTGTCCCTCAAATACGATGTGAAATTAGGACATTTCCAGATAAGCTGAAATTAAGGGAATTTATTAAAACCAGACCAACCTTACAAGAGATGCTAACGGGAGTCCTTTGGACAGAGAAGCAACAACAGCCAACAACAAATGACCATTAACACACATGATGATATAACCCAGAAACCAACCCAGCTATGGAAGTATCCAAAGTAAAGAAGCCTACAGGATTAAACAGGGAACCAGACACACCAACTGACAAATGAGGACAACTACAAACCAAACAGGGAAAAAACTGTGTTGTTAAAAAACTTCTATATGTTAGGGAAGTAAGACAACTACAAGATAGAATGGACAGTTCTAAACTTGAGAAGAAAACTATTAATCACAGGGTAACCTCAAAGAAAAATGATAAACCTTCACATCAAAAAAGAGGACCAGCATAAATATTCAGCAAATACGAAAACAATAGCAATGAAGGAAGTGATAACACGATTTATAAACAAAACAAGCTCAGCTTAGAAAATTATATGGAACAAAGAAATCGACACCATGAAAGAGCACATAACAAAAATGACAGCAACAAGTTCATAATTGCTGATAATTACATATCTGGCAAGAGACTTATCTCCAAGATTTATAGCAGAAAAGTGGATGACCAAACTATGGTACATACACATAAAGGAATGCTATGCAGCACTAAAGAATAATGTAGAGTCTGCAATACACTGCATAATATGGATGAATCTGGAGGACATTATGGTGAGTGAAATAAGTCAAAGGAGGACAAATAAAGTATTAGTTCGTTGTTGCGGAAGGTCAAGAAGGCTTATATACAAAGGGAAATGTTATTTGTTAGTTGCCAGGGGCGGGAGGGGAGGGGAGGGAAGACTGCAAAAAACAAACAAACAAAAAAAATAAACACATTGACTCATGTCACTTTAGTTTTGTATATTTCACTGTAAATAAATTATATTTCAATAAAATGCATTTTAAAAAAGAATAGCAAAGAATTAACTCTTTAAACAATTCAAGTTAGTAGCTTCTATTAAAAAAGAAAAGATTGCGATTGAGAGGTTAGGTGATTTGCTGGAGGACTGGCAATGTTCTACTTCTTCACCTGGTTAATAGTTAAATTTTAAAATTATTCACTAAACTGTGTTATTTTGTTGTTGTTGTTAGGTGCCATCGAGTCTTTTCCAACTCATAGCGACCCCATGCACAGCAGAACGAAACACTGCCCTATCCCATGCCAGCTCCACGATGATCCCTGCTATACTTGAGCCCATCACCGCAGCCACCATGTCAATCCATCTCATTGAAGGCCTCCCCCTCTTTCGTCGACACTCCACCCTACCAAGCATGACATCCTTCTCCAAGGAATGGTCCCTTCTGACAACATGACCAAAATAGGTGACACGAAGTCTAGCCATTCTTGCTTCCAAGAAGCATTTCGGGTGCACTTCCTCCAGGACAGATCTGTTAGTTCTTTTAGCAGTCCATGGTACTTTCAGCATTCTTCATCAGCTCCACAATTCAAAAGCATCAACTCTTCTTCGGTCTTCCTTATTCATTGTCCAGCTCTCACATGCATACGAGGCAATTGGAAATATCATGGCTTCTGTCCGGAGCACTCAGTCCTCAAGGACATCCTTGCTCCTCAGCACTTGAAACAGTTTCTTCGTGGTTGACTTTCCCAATGCTACA